GGGGACTGTACCTGGGGATTGAACCCAGGGCCTTCACACGGAGCTGTATCTCCAGCCCATTTCTTTTAATTTTTATTTTGAGAGGATCTCACTAAGTTGCTCAAGCTGGGCTTGAACTTCTGATGGTATTGCCTCAGCCTCTCAGAGTGCTGAGATTACAGCCCACCATGCCACCATGCCCAACTAGGTAGATTTTATTCTTCACTCATTCATTCATTCATTTATTCTTCATTCTTTTATTTTTGTGCACTAGAGATTGAACCCAGGATCTTTGCCCTGGGCTATATCCACAGCCCTTTTGTTTTTTCAGATTTTGAGATAGGATCTTGCTAAATTGTCCAGGCTGGGCTTGAGCCTACCATTCTCCTGCTTCAGCCTCTCAGAGTGCTAGGATTACAGGCATGCGCCGCCACAGCCAACTAAGTATACAACTCTGAAATGATAAAAATATTCATCCATGTGTCCTCTGAAGCAATTCGTCTCTTTGAGTGGCCCGTGTACCACCATTTGGGGGATACGTTGCTCAGAACATTCTTGTGTGCTTTCCTCCCTTCTCCCTCCTAGATTCCTTTGCTCTAACAAAGATTGATACACATGAGAAAAGAAACAAGAACTGTTAGTTATCAGGCAAAGAAGTTTTAAGAGTTTTTAAACTACTTACCCTGCCCTCTCTCCTCCCTTCCCTGGCTTGTTTCTAAGACACCAGCTTTCTGAATTCACAAGGAGACCCCTCCAAGGCTGACTGCCTTGGCCATGCCAGCTCTCTCCACCTATTAGTGGACAGTGTCTAGAACACTGGCAAGTGAATTTGAAGATAAAGAAAATCCCTGCATGTTACTACACAGAATCCTGATAGGAGGTTGTGAGTGGGGGCTGTGTTCGTGAATTCCCATGGAACAAGATTAGCCAGGGCTCAGCCCTATAAGGCCTCTTGGAGACCTGCTGGGATTTAGTAGGAGCAGAGCCAAAAGGACTTCTGAGAAATAGCTTCTCTTTTTTCTTACAAATGCAGTGGCGGAGGCCCAGAGGGGTCAAATGACATATCTAGGATCCCACCCTTAGAGAGTGACAACATTTGGGGCTTGGCCTACCCACTCACACCTCTCCCGAATTTATCTCACCATCTCAGAAGCCTTGTAAGGAAAGTCTTGTGCTAGGAGTCAGAGGACACCAGCAGTAGAAATGGCTTCTTTCAAAGAAAGAGGATCTGATCTCCAGCAGCCACTCAGGCAAGATCTGAAATCCTGGAAATGACTTGATATCCTAGAAATGACAGAAATGGGTCACATTACCCTGGACAAGACTGGTCAGGACTCAAAGCCATTTCTACTATGTGAGGGACTTCTGGCTGTGACATGAGGGCAGAGTTTCGATGACCCAGTCCTCTGATGCCCTGGTACATGCCAGCCCTCCTTAGAATGTTCTGCTCCAGAAACTAAGCCCAGAAGCATCTGCAGGTCGACCTCTTGTGGCTGTGAGAAATAGTTTAAAAACATCCCAGCGATTCCAGAATCAGAGGAGCCCAGGCTAAGTCCCAGGGAGAAACTGAAGCTCTGCGTTTGGATCTGTTTTTGACCTGCAAGGCAAGCTTCGGCTGGAAAGTTTTAGTAAAACCCTAGTGACGCCTCACAAATCCTACATCTCCATTGCCTTAAATGCAGTTTGCAAACGTGAAGGCTACCTACCAACCGGGGATGTGGAAAGAGGTGTGGGGAGGGGGCTTCCCCCGGACATCAGGAATGGTGGAGTCACAAACCAACCCGTAGCAGAGGCTCCATATGATGGTAACTCAAGGGTCACCTCCTCCAGGAAGGTTCCCCAAACTTCAAAGGGAAACCAGTAGCGCCACCTCTGATCTCACAGTACCTGGAAGAACCCTCTGCTCCTCTGCCTTGTTCTTGTGGTCTGTTCTGAGCCTGTCGCACCCCTTGTTGGTGAGTCACTAGAGGGCACCAGCCCTGTGTTATTCACCTCTGTGTTCTAAGAGTTTGGTGGACAGCAAGTGGGCCTCCACACACCCTTGGATGGGGGGCCACGTAGACAGAAACCTTGGGAAGCACAAGGTTTGTAGAAATACCTTAGGATGCAAACCAGGCAGCTGGAGGATCTCATATGGCTGGGCAGAGGAAGTGGCATTGGGGTGTGATGGACAGGAGAGATTTCCTGGGAGCCATTGTGACCTGAGAAGTGACTAGGCATGACCATCGTCCCCATCCAAGTGACAGCCCCTTCCCTGCCCTCGCCACCTTTTCCCAAAGGAGACACATTTTCAGTGAGTCTGGCCATTTCAGAGACAACAAACTCGCTGTGTTCTCCTGGGTCATCTGTTAGCTAGTTATCTGTCAAGTAACTTCTAGCTACAGTTGTGCTAAAAAATACCTAGAAGCGCTGGAGATTTAGCTCAGTGGTGCCAGCGCCTGCCGCAAAAGCACAACGTCCTAAGTTCGATCCCCAATACCAGAAAAAAAAAAAGCCTAGAAATGGTAGGAAAGGACGTTTCTGGTCAAACTGTTTCTGAGAAAGCCCCGTAACAGCTCCAAGTGAGGCTGTCATGTTGACCCACGTGCACAATGCCCAATACTTCTTCCAGAAAGAGGGGAAGAGGGACGCACCTCCAAATGTTCTCTCGCAGTTCCTGCAAGGACAGTGTTGCCAATTGTCCCAAGTCCTCTGACTTTTCTTTAGCACTTATTTTCTTATATGTGATATAATTAAGGGATAAAATTACTCATTGCCTGTTCCCCTTGGCTGGACTGTCAATGCCACAAAGCCAGAGACTTTGCTTTGGCATGGATGTGTCCCACGTACCTAAAACAGTGTCTAGCGTACATTAGGTGCTTGATAAATGAGTGAACATTGGTATGAACGGACACATTGAGTGAATGAGTGCTTTACCTCTCCCCAGATCTGATCCCAGGTAAAAGGAAAGGCAGTTTTCCTAAGAGAAGTGGCACTCACTCAGGCTTGGAGGGCCACAATTATTTGGGCCCTAGAGCCTCCTGCAGCTGCTTCCTATAGAGTGACTGGGCTGATTTGTGCCCGCCATGGACATCATCAACATACATAACATACATCAACATACATGCTAGGAGAAAAGATGCTACCTGAAAAGCATGCTCGTTATTTAAGTGGCTGCTGTTGGCACATGTTCTTCATCAAGGAGGTAGCTGTGGTCCTATGGGGAGACCTGGATTCAAATTTCAAGTGTGTCCCTTCCTAAGGTTGCTGAGTCACCCCACCTGGTGTCAGACCCCCATCTTCGCATGTGCCAGCACTGAGCCTCCTGACCCCCACACCCCTCTCCCAGGCTGATGGTGTGGGTGAGTTCCTGGAGCCCGTCCCCAGGCTGGTCTCTGGCTCTCCCCAGGAAAGGATCCAACAACGCTGTGAGTTTTGTTAGGGAGGATTTCGCGGCACCCTCCCCTCCAAACCCAAATCCCCAGTAAGTCAGGAAGATGTGTGTTTTAAAACACTGAGAGGTCTGTTTTGGATCAGCCCGAGCCTCAGCTTCCCGGCTCAGGGAGGCAGCTCCTCCTTGGGCGTGGGGCTCTCCCTGCCGCCTTCACTTCGGCCTCTGTGGCCGTTGGCTTTTAAATCATAAAAAGCCACTCTGTATACAGTTTACTCTGCTGCTAGAAGGCAGCGGAACATAGGTATTAGGAAGGGGAGAGGGAGAGAGAGAGAGAGAGAGGGAGAGGAAGAAGCAGCCGTTAATCCCGCCAGGCTTCTGGGCACTGGAGTAGTTGTGGATGACAAAAGTTAATTAGAAACATGAGCAGTTTAACTGAAAACACTTGTGACAATTGGAAGGGCAGCTTCTCCGCTTGGGGAAATTTTCCTAGGGAATCATTGCGGGAGAAAGTGGCTGCCACTAGGTAAGTCGTGTCACTGGCTTTGCAGCCGTGGATGCCGTGGGTGGGGGCTTATGGGGCACATCCTGCTTGCTCTGCACTTGGGGAGCGGGGTGTAGTGGGCACCGGGCTGCGGGCTCTGCCTTTCCCATCTCCCTGCCACTTTGTCCAGTAGCTGTCCCTCCTCGAGAGGCAGAGCTGACCGTCCCAGGGCTGCAGTTCCCATTTCTGTGACACTGGGGCCACCCTGGTGGCTGTGGCTGGGAGCCCCCCCTTTCCCAGAATAATGCTGCCTTTTATTTGGAAATATTTCCAGGCCTTTCGGAGAGAAGAATCTGGCCAGGGAAACACTCACTGAGCGCCAAGGGGAAGCCTGACTTTCAGATAACCTGTGGGGGTTTTGGTATTTTTTGCCTTGGGGAAGCCGTGTGCACAGATCATACTCTTTAACAACAACAACAAAAAAATTGCTTTTTTTTTAAGTCCAGCCTGAATAATTTCTGTAAATCTTTAAAAGAGCCAAAGTAGGAATAACTTACATGCTTTGATAGGATTTAGCAACTTTGGTTGGTAATTACTCTCCTCTAAAGATTTTTCTTCTCTTCTCCTTTGCATATTTATTTATTTTCTTTGGTAACAGGGATCGAACTCAAGACCTTGCACTTGCGAGGCAGGCATGGTGCCACTGAGCTAAATCCCCGGCCCGCCGTCCCTTTTTAAATTTCTTGTCTATTTTGTTTTAATGTCTCTGCTAATTCTTGATTCTTATCTGTAATTGGGAAATGGACTTGTAGGTTAAATAATGCAAAGCAATGGCTATCTCCTACACCGCCCAAGGTTTTTGCTTTTTTTTTGTAGACTGACAGTCTCGATGACGCTGTCACTGGTAAGACTGGTGTGCATTCGGAAAGCCTATGACACCAAAATGGGATGGGGCTGGGTAGGGAGGTATGAGCTATGCAGGATGGAGAGCGGGAGGAAGTTGAGCTATGATTTAACTTTTAAGCACAGGTAACCCCTAAAGCAGGCAATGAGACGTTTGGGCTGGGAGCCACTGGCCGTGTAGGTGCAGCTAGGCCGGCCCTCCCTCACCCCCAGAACAGGTCAGCAAATGTAACTCAGCTCCCCTTCCTTTCCCGGTCTCTGCAGAACCACTGAGGAGCTCGGCCTCCGCCCACCCCGGCATGAGCGAAAATGCAGCTGCTCCCTCGGACACCAGCAGCCCCGCCGTGCCCACTAACTGCAGCGCCTCCTCCGCCATCCCGCAGCCCTCGGCCGCCAAGCCCTGGCGCAGCAAGTCCCTCAGCGTGAAGCACAGCGCCGCGGCCAGCGCCAGGCCGCCCGCGCCCGAGGCCCCCAGGCCCGCGCCCGAAGCCATGAAGCCAGCGCCCAACAATCAGAAGTCCATGCTGGAAAAGCTGAAACTCTTCAACAGCAAAGGGGGCTCCAAGGCGGGCGAGGGCCCGGGCTCCCGAGACGCGAGCTGTGAGCGGCTGGAGATCCTGCCGAGCTGCGAGGAGAACGAGGAGCTGGAGCCCGCGGGCCGCACGCTGTCCAGCGCGGGCCCCGCCTCCAGCAGCCCCAAGATCGCGCTCAAGGGCATCGCCCAGCGGACTTTCAGCCGGGCCCTGACCAACAAGAAGAGCTCCCCTAAAGGCAACGAGAAAGAGAAGGAAAAACAGCAGCGGGAGAAAGAGAAGGAGAAAGGCAAGGACCTCACCAAGAGAGCTTCGGTGACGGAAAGACCGGACCTCAAGGAGGAGCCCAGGGACGAGCCCAGTGGCGCAGCCGTGACCGAGATGCCAAAAAAGTCCTCCAAGATCGCCAGCTTCATCCCCAAGGGCGGGAAGCTGAGCAGTGCCAAGAAGGAGGCCGCCGCCCCTTCCCACAGCGGCATCCCCAAACCAGGGCCGAAGAGCACGCCCGGCAAGTCCCCGAGTGCCCCCGCGCTGCCCAAGGATGGGGAGCGGAGCCGCGGCGCCAAGCCGGGCTCGGGGCTCCCCCCGCAGAAGCCCCCGCTCGATGGCCGCCACTCCAGCTCCTCCTCCAGCCTGGCGTCCTCGGAGGGAAAAGCCCCGGGCGGGGCCACTCTGAACCACAGCATCAGCAGCCAGACCGTGAGTGGGTCCGTGGGGAGCACCCAGAGCACGGGAAGCAATACTGTCAGTGTTCAGCTACCTCAGCCTCAGCAGCAATACAGCCATCCCAACACTGCCACGGTCGCACCCTTCCTGTACAGGTAGGCGAGCCGCTGTTGGCGTCTGGCCCTGGGAGGGTGGGATCCGCGCTGCCCTCTGAGGCGCCATGTGACTCCCAGGCAGGGAGGCAGGTGCAGTGTGCTTGGGCACACAGCTCTGCAGCTGGTCAGGCTCATGGTGGGTGAGACGTGAGCTGATCCCAGGCTGGGCAGGGCTTCACCATCCTGTGGGACTCAGAAGCAACAGAAGCATGAACACCCGCAGAACCCATCTTACATCGGGAAGATAAGCCTGCCATAGTTTTTCTGTCCCCTACACAACCACCCCCATCTCTCTGTCTCTGGTGGTGCATCCTCAGGACCCCAGAGCCCTGGGGAGCCAGGGGCTGCTCGCTTCATGTGGTTCTGCCCATGAGAGGCCCTGGCTGCCTTTGCTGGATGAGCCCTCCCCGGGTCCAGGTCTCTAGGCTGCACACGGGTGAGCAGTCCAGGAAGGTGCAGGCTCCCGGCTCTACTCCTGAGGGAACCCACAGCTTTTGCTCACAGTCCTCAAGTCAGTCCTGTGCTAGCAACGTGTGGTGCATTTGGCCGCACTCCATGGCTGGACCATAACTGTTACCTGTGCACAGCAAAAGGGCACCAGTGATCGAATGCCATGCTCTATGCATGTGTTTTGCAACTCTTGCCCTTAGTGCACTGACAGCTATACACATACACTCCTATGTTCACACGGTGTGGACACACGCAGACAGTCATCCGTAAGTAGGGACACAAGTACACATTCCCATACCACATGCAAATGCATATACAAATACATGCTTTCACATACCTGTTTGGGTACATACACTCTCACCCAAACTGTCAACTTCCTATGTCTGTATGGTTTCCAAAGAACCAAATATTCCCTCTCCCTGTCTGTGCTCTAGCTCTAGCGAGCTCTGCTTCACTTCCTGCCAGTAGCACTTTCAGAGTAAAGCTAGCCAGCGACCAGCCTGTGAAGAAATTTCAGGCTTTACCTGGTTCCTCCTTCATTTTCTTCTGGTTGTCCACTTCAGCGAGGGTCACATGGCTCTTTTTAACTGCGAGATGGTCATCATTTTAGTAAATCAAGCCATCAGCTACCAGTGCTAGCCCAGTGCCAAGGCTTCAACAATGGCTCAGCTTGTTACATGCACGACTTTTAATACAAATGTTCTCTGAACCGTAGAGACAACTGAATTGCTCCCCATGAAGGTTTTACGATTCCAGTAGCATTAATAGTCTTGTGGAAATGCATATGCAAACTGCCATTCACAGACCCATGGTTTGCATTTTCAAAATTAAAATAGCTGACAGTCTTTGATCACCATCCATCCCTCTCCTTCCCTGTCTGTTGTGACTGTAATCACTTGAAAGGTGGTGAAACGTTTCACGTCTTACTATTACTCTCTCTGGCTTTTCTATGGGAGAAAGTGATATGATCCAAGTGCCTGAGGAACAGGAGGGAGGGGAACTTCTGGGATGAGCAGCTGCAGGCTCCCTTTTCCTGTGATGCTCACCCTGAATGATGTCCCCTAGGAAGAAGGGCACTGGGACAGGGACGGCACATGGGCCCTGTCCTTCATCAGCTCAAGCTGTCCTCCGAGTTCACAGCCACTGGCTGCATTAAGAGCTGCTATTCTTGCACCGAGTGCGTCTGAAGACTGAGCTAAGTGCTTTCCACGTCTTTCCTCACAGAATTCTTTCCCCCACCCTGACTCCATGAGCTAGCTTATTTTTTAAAATCTCTATTTTACAGGTGTGCAAACTGAAGCTTACACTAATTAAATCACTTGCTTTAAGCTATAGAGCTGTAATGGAAGAGCTTGTGTTTAACTGGAATCTAACGAGAGGCACAGGGCTCTGAGTCACCTTTGTCCTGACTCTAAATCACCTTGTCTCTCTGAGCTTCATTGTCTTCAAGTGAGATTAGAGTGGATTCCAGGATTTTAAAGGAGGCTTACACTTCCTCTCTAAAATTTGCTGTCTTGTATTTATGGCTCCCTATATAGCTTCCAGGGCTTCCCCCCAACCTCTCTGTGTTAAAATGTACCGAGAGAGAGAGGGAAGGTCATTTCTAAAAGCCACTTAAGATCAGTTATATTTATCAATTCAGAAGTAATGACAGACACATGGATCCCTTGACTATGAGCTTTTTGGGTCACATCATGTTTGATTTTTGTCACCGGAGGGAAGTTGCTTGATGAGGGCTGTGGGTGACTTAATTTGTGTGGCTGCTGAGTTGTGGAACTTGGACCTGAAGCTACATGGTCACACCCCAAGTCTAATGTTCTTTGCAGTACCTGGCATCTTTCTAGACTTAAATATTTCTCATTTATCAATCAGTACTCCCTTTTGGAATACTTGTTCAGTAGTAAACTTGAACTGACCTTCGCCTCCAGACAGCTCTGGATCTAGCTGAGGAAAGAGGTATCGGTTGGATCTCACTGTAATCACTAGGCACCCAGAGGAAAAAGAGAATGCAGTAGAAACCCAGAGAGGCAATCCTGGCAGTCAGGGAGGGTCCAGCGTCTTGTAGGGAGCCAACAAGGAGGAACAAGGAGGTCGCAGTAACTGCCAGTTATGACCCAGGAGTGAAGTAGAAGGGAAAGCTGTGTCACCAACTGCAGCAGAGTTTGCCCCTTACTCTTGGTGATGGGAACCCTCCAGGGCCTTTAATCGGAGAGTGATGATATCACACCAGCATGCACTGATCAGGTAGTCAGCTTTTGGTACCAGGGATTGAACTGAGGACCTTGCAATTGTGAGGCAGGTGGCGGCACCAGTGAGCTAACTCTCCGGCCCACCTAAGGTAGAGCCTTAGCAAAGACGTAATAGAAAGGGCGGCCCAGGGGGAGCTGGGTGGAGGCAGAGGGAACAGCCACTCTTGTCACCAGCAGGTGGCGCCCTACAAGAGCGGGAGCCCAGTCTCTTCAGACTTCCTTCTTTTTACTTAGGAGAATTTCAGGTAATTCTCTCTCATTTTTAAATGGCAAATATCCCAACTTTTAAGCGTTGGGCTAATTTTAAAACTTTAAAATATTGTGCAGACCAATAAGAATACATCTGTGGGCTCGTCCCTATGCCTGGCTGCTCTTTGCAGCCTCCGGGCTAGAAGCAGGGTAACTGTTTCAAGGTGTTAATGCCTCTGACTGTGGGGTGCAAAGGAAAACTAGAATTATGTGAATCCTTTAAACATATCAGTTACAGAAATTGGAAAGGAATGGCCTCAGAAAGAGGGCAAAGGAGGGAAAAATTGGTGGATGCTTGAAGTTTATCAGTACCTCCCCCATGGCCCATTTACATGCTTGTCAAACACTTTGTTGGGGGTTAAGGGTGTCAGAGCACAGGTTTAGTACGTGCAAGGCCCTGGGTTCATTCCCCAGCACTGAAAAAATAAAATTCACTTTCTTCGTTCATAGTGAAATCTCACTGAATCAGTCTGGGATGCTAATAGAGTAATAATGCGACATGCAAGCTATGCATTTGAGCATAATTACATGTTGCGTGCTATGCCCAAGTAGTTGGGGCAAGAAAAACATCACAACAAGCCGTTGCCTCAATTTGCTTGACAAATAAGGGCATGGGGAAAGCTTGGGGAAGTACAGAGTTCAGTCAAGTGTTGAAATAATGATCAGTGAGATCTTTCATGTCAGAGATCTGACTTCTGAATCAGAGACCAGGAGGGCCAACACAGCTGCTCGGCATCCACTCCCGACTGAGTTTATAGTCACCTTCCAGCGAGGGCCACGTCAGGAGAGCCTCGGGGGCTGTCAGTCATCAAGCTTGACTTGGTGGCATTGCTGATTGCTTAAGAGTTGCTCTTTGGCACAGGCTAAATTATCCGAAGCACCCAGAACCCTGCAGCATGGGTCTGCCCAGAGGCAGCTCCCTGAAGGGGTTCAAAGGAGTGTTCCCCAGTGCAGGGTTGCAGAGCCTCCACTTGGGCGATGAATATTTCATCTTTTCCAGTCCGGTGGCTCTCTGTGTTCTTAGGACCTTGCTCCGCTGTGGCTAATGAATTATTAAGCATCACTCTGCTGATTTCCCAAGCTTGGAGGCGACGGTGCGTGGGCGGACTACAGTGGTCCAGATGTGGTGGGGGCCTCTCGTGACAAGTGCGTGTGCTTTGGTTTGTGTGCAAAGGTCCCAGACGGACACTGAGGGGAATGTCACTGCCGAGTCCAGCCCCACAGGGATGAGCACGGAGCCCGGCCACTATACCAAGAGTGGACAGCCTGCCCTGGAGGAGTGCACGGGTGAGTACGGAACCCTGGGGTTCCATCTGCGGGTGACGACACCTCCCTGCCACCACGCTGCCCTTCCCTTGATATTTTCCTTCCTCGCTTTCCTTTACTCTCTCATGGTCTCCTTGCTCCTCCTCCTCCCCCTATTCAGTCATAAACGTATCTCTAATCTGTTGGCAAGTCTGATGTTTCAGATAGATTCCATTTCATTCATTGCTGGACCCTGGATGACCCTGGTACTTTGAATCTTCATGTTTACTCTTCAGCTGAAGTTGTTTTTCACCAAGATTTGGAACCCCAAAATGCTGGGGGTTTTCCCATTCCTTATAGAAGCACAGATTTAAAATGTGTTTGTAGAATTTTCCATTCATTGGAAAGAAGATTGGAGCATGCTTCTACTAAAAACAAAAAACTCTAAATTTTATTTCATTATAACCACAACAATGGTGATTATAGGGATATTATGCTGTGTAAAACCATGAAATCCATGCTTGGTGTGGTGCCACACACCTGTAGGCCTGGCACTCTGGGAGGGTGAAACTGGAGGATCTCAAAGTCAAGCCAAGCCCAGGCAACTTAGTGATTTAGTGAGAACCCCCCTGTCTCAAAATTTTAAAAAACAAAAAGGGCTGGGGATGCAGCTCAGTGGGAAGGCCCTGGGTTCAATCCCCAGTACTGCAAAAAACAAAACTAAACTAAACATGAAATCCAGCTGTCCTATTGCTAACTGTGCAGATGGATTGATTTTACATTGAAACATTCTCCAAGGGGAAATACCAGACCTGAAGGAGTGTGTGTGTGTGTGTGTGTGTGTGTGTGTGTGTGCACGCTATGCATTAAACCCAGGTCCTCGTGCGTGCTAAGCCTGTGCTCTACAACTGAGCCGCCCTCTAGCCGTGCATTAGAATTGGTATTAGTGGGTTCCAAGTGCCACTTCCTCCATCTCCTTGCCTCCGTGCCCCATGCTCCTGCTCCGGCAGCTTCCAGTCATCGAGGTAAGCGGTAAAGCACATGTCAGCAGTGGCTCTGTCCCACCTCTCGTACCGTACCACTTCCAGAGTGTGGGGAGAGATTGAATCCACGCGGAAGATTCTTCTATTAGACTCAGTGCCCATCAGCACACCCTTGTAAGAGCCACACTGCAGCTGTGGAATCGGTCCGCAGGCCGCGTGTTTGGACCATCCCTGTCTCACCATGAGTTCTGAGTATTAATTTCGGAGGATCGGGGGATCTAACTGTTTCCTTCTGGTTCCGCTGGCTGGGCGCAGTGACGGTGCTGAGGTTGCTCCAGCTGTTTGTAAGCAATCCATCTTAGAAGGGTTCAGGTCCCCAAGTTTGAGGTTGGTTTTACATTTCCTTCTTTCTAGGTTTGTGGCTGCCTTGCTTATGGATGTTTGATAGCAAGATAGGAAGAGGGCCAGAGGGAGAAGGGTGCAGAATTCAGGTGACTGCTCGGGTCTCCGCACACATTCCGGGTCGCCTTCTCGGAGCACACCTCCAGAGCGCCAGGCAGGATCAGCCCTGTGTCCCGTGCAGCAGCATGGGTGCCCCTCCCACGCTGAGTCTCAGCAGAGTCCGCATTTGAAGACCAAAGGCAGCATCCAGGAAACACTCGGATATCACTTAGATTTCAGAGCGATGACCATAGCCTATGCTCTTACTCTAATTTCTTTTTCTTCCTGGGTCTCCTATTCCCGAGACCAAATCACCAAGTCTGCTGCCAGTGTTTTTGAGCAGCAGACTGTCAGCTAAGTGCTCTTTGGGGTTGTGTTGAGTGAGAATCCCTCAAGTCGGGGTCACCTGTCTTTACATGCGAGCAGTAAAGAGGGTCCACGTGTGACTCTGCTGTGGATCTTTTTTATGAGGACCCTGGATAGCACAAGATTAAATTCCCACAGCCCTTCCTTTACAATGAGAGTGAACGGTGGCGCACTTAGAAATGAGCATTTATGAGACTGTTTGACCAGTGGCTTAGGTCTTCCCCTTGTCGGTGCAAATGGCTGGGCTTCTGCAGTGTGTATGGTCGCGCATCTTGAATTATAGAGTTAGAAGGAACCACTCACACCACCTTTTCTTGTGTCATTGTTCAGCCTTTACTTGCATATTTCTTGTGACTCATTTGTTACTCATCTTGTTACTCATATCTAAGGCAGCCTATTCATTTTTTGATTGTTGTTGTTGGCTTTAGCAAATAATAGAGTTCTTTATTCTTAACGTTTCCAGTCACTGGATCTTATTCAGCCTGCTACGGTCCACAGACAATTTCTGTCCTTTTCCATGTAGCAGCATGTCCTTCAGGCTTTCCTCTTCCAAGTGAAAATCCTAGATCTCTTCTGTATCCCTTTGTGACACAGTTATACCTATACACTCGGTCAGTGTGGGTCAGAATGCAGTGCTTTCTTGGTTGCAGCCAGTGGCTTGAGGGAAGACTTTCCTTGGCAAATTCAAGGTTGCTGTGGGTAGACAGGGCCTTGCTTCCCCCGTTTTTTCAGATTTCTGAAGGAGTTGAAAGGGCCTGCCTATTTCCCCAAGAGCTTGGCCATGATTTTACTTTGCTCAGTGTCTTAGTTACTTTTTCTCATTGCTGAGATAAAATACCTGACACCCAAAGTTAAAGGAGGAAAGGTTTATGTAGCTCACAGTCTGTAGAGATTTCAGTTCATAGTCAGCTGGCTCCAAGGCAGGGTGGCACGGCAGAGGGGCATCACAGAGGAGAAGCCATCCGTCTTCACGCAACTGCAAAGGCCGTGCCTTTCCGCCAAGCCCCAGGCTGACCAAACCTGTGCCAGGGAGCAAGTATATCTTAGGCACCTGAAGCTGTGTGTGGGAGTTGCCAAAAGTAAAGGTGGACGCTCCCCCCACTCAAAGATCTTTGGGTTTCTTTTGTTGTGCAGTGTTGGCTGTTGAACCCTCACACATGCCCAGCACAGACTCTATTCACTGAGCTACAGCCTCAGCCCCGGTCTTTGGATTTCTAAAGGAGAATTAAGTCAGGCAAATACCTCACTAGTCACAGCATGGATAAGTAAATATGCTTTTGCTTGTGATTAATGGGGGTAATTTGAAAACCAGTGCCTATACTTAGGTTCCTAATAAATGTTCACCATGGGGTCTAGAGTTAGCTAAGGATTGGTACCTTTTCAGCAGCCTTACAGAGATAAAATATGGCCAAACTGGCTCTGAAAGAGATTTAATTAATGGCCCAAAAGGTAGATGCAGTTCCATCCCTCCGACCCCATTAGGGGAAGGTAGAATGGATCTTTATCACTGCTTCCGTCACAAAATCCACACGTGCATCTACATCGTGTACACACTTGGGTGGGACATGCAGTTTGAGCACTGTTGAGATGAAAGTTCCCCCCAAATTGCTCTGGGTTAAAAGGGGCTGGAAAATTAAAAACATTTGTAGTTTCAAGATTAGAGAGTTTGCCACAGTCAGTTTCTTCCATAAAAATCAAATGGCTATCATTGACGCCGGCCTCCGGCCTCCAGGCGCCCCTGTGCCGAGCGCAACCCGAGGAAGTCGTTATGGATCTCAGAGGAGAAGTTTCGTGCTGTGACTCTTCTTTGGTGCCTACGGCCCCCTGAGTGATGGCTGTTGAAAGTTCCCCTCAGTGTCCACTGTAAGCCCCCCAGCCACTGCCCTCTGTAGCCCGTTCTGTAAGAAGATTTCTTTACAAACGTTGCTCAGCACTGGAAAGGTCATGAACTTTCCAAAACCCTTGATTATGGTTCCTCGATCTGCTCAGCCCTCCCTGAAATTACTCTGAGGAGGGGAAGGTTTGATTCCTTTAATCATTATTATAGTCATTTCCCTTCTCTTAGTCCTCTGTAAGGCCAAACGGAGCAGAGTCACCCAAAACCCCAAAACAAGGCTGAGGACGCATGGCTTCTGCTTGTGGGTGGCATAGTTCTCATGGTACATCAGCACCAGCTCGAACTCTGCTTGGCCAAGGGTCTCATGGAAAATCGTACCCAGAGAACAGAAGGCTGTGGTCTGGCTCCTGGTGGCTTCTTGCTCTACAGCACCGTGGGCTCTCACTGAGTACCTGCCGTGGGCACTGTTCAGAGGCCTGCTGCTGCCGTTCTTTGAGCTCAGGGCTGTCCCTGTGCTCATTTGAGGAACGTCAGGTAGAAGGATGGAGAAGGCCAGCACCCTGCCCACGGCCAACACACAGCCGGGGGGAGCTCGAACTTGAGGTGATGTCATGCATCTGACGAGGGACAGGCAGACTTCCCTCTACAGAACAAGTACAGGTCTTCTAGCCACTGCAGGCTCTTTTTGACAGTTAGGCTGCATCGCCAATAGGTGAGAAAAAGCATGCTGTGCACAATTTGGTATGGGCAGACAGACCTAACCTGTGTCTGTTTTCAATGGAGAGGGTATGAAAGTATGTTTGCATCTCAGACGAGGGACTCTGCTGTTAGACCTCACCCACTCAGCAGGGACCAGGAGGAAGAACTCCTTGGATGTTATCCCTCCCTCCCTCCCTCCCTCCCTTTAGCTATCCACTCACCCATTCACTGGTTCTCAAATCCTAATGAAGCAGCCACAGTAAGCCAGAAGCTGACCTGGTGGATTCATGGTCATGATTGACCATTGCTTTCAGGAAGCTTGCCATCTAGCAAAGGGTTAAAGTAGCCTTCACCCTCTTGTTTGCAGGGGAAGACCCCGAGGCTCGGCGGCTGCGGACAGTGAAGAACATCGCTGATCTGCGGCAGAATTTGGAGGAGACCATGTCCAGTTTACGGGGAACTCAGGTGACACACAGGTATCTGCCACACGGATTACTCTGCTGAACTAGCTGGGAACTTGATTTTCCCGGCTTCTCCTGTGTGTCTTCATGCAGTCCATAAAGAGAGTTGGTGAATAGTAGAATAAATAAACTTGCTCCCCAAATGAGCTAGAATTCACAGGAATGTCAGCAAACATGCAGGAGAGAAGCATAGCGAAGAACTATCAGCGTGGACAGATTCCTCCCCAAAGCAGAAGGTTGCTAGATTCCTTCCACAGGATATTGCAGAACAGCTCCATTTAAATTTCACTTCACTAGCATTTTCCAAAACTGTATCATGCTATTGCAAAGAGCAGGTGAACTGTGTTTGACCCATGCAATAAACTGAATAACTTGAATTCCTACCCGGTCTTCTGATACCCAACACCTTGTAATATTGTTAGTCATGCACGTGCATGAAACACGTAAGGAAATGTTTATGAAAACTTGCGATCATGTTTAAACTATGATTTAGTGGCATAGGGTTACATGAGAAATGTTGATCAGATTGTTTTCATTGTTCGGCAAGAAGCTGAGGAGGATGCACCCCTGAGCTGTCCTTTGTGATTTTGGCAGGGCAGGGCTTAACAGTTTGTGTTTGGCTTTGGGAATCAGAGAGAAGTGCTGGTCACCCCTGCTGAACTCCCAAGGGATCTCCATGGCTTCTCCAATTTCAATTTCTTTGATGAACCGGTACAGGGAGGCAACCTGGCTCCCCGATGTCAGTAGTTTGGCAGGTCCGGCTGCACCGCTGTGGGTTCTGTCTTCAGCTGGACCTAGGGGTTCAATATGCAGAAAGCGAAGCTACTTCCAGGATTGAGTAGGGGGAGTCAAAACCTCTGGAGGCATCAAATGGCTCTTCCAGAGGAAAGTGAACTTAGGGACTTGGGGTGAGACTCTGCTAAGCATTAGGTATTTGAAAGAGATGGAGCTATAGGATGCTGGGCCCTGTGATGCCTTGATTAGGTATGAAGCATCTTTCTTTGCACCATAAGCTCCAAAACTGAATTAATGTCGATACTTCATTTCTTTCTTTTTTTTTTTTTGGTACCGGGGATCAAACTCGGGTCCTTACGCTTGCGAGGCAGGCGGCAGAACCACTGAGCTAAATCCCCAGCGATACATCATTTCTTGATGAGTTTCTTGGAGGGTCTTTCTGATGCCCAGAGATGAGCTCAGTCTCCCAAAGATTGAGGTCCATGTCACTTGATTTCTTAGGGAGCTCAAGCCAGGCAGCCACCAGTCTTTCTGGTCTTTTCGGACAAAATATGGAAGCAGCAAAAGTTTGGGGGAAATGGACATGAAGGATTAGCAAATTGGAGCTCTCCCCACCTGCTCAGCCAGAGGGAGCTGTGGATGTGGGGTGTAACACTAGGAACCCCAGGTGGTCGGAGCACCCTGCCCTTAGAGCGATGGGTGTCCTGGCGCCCTGAGCACACAGGCAGGGGGCCCCGTCACACCCCTTCTCTGTGAGTCTGCTGATTCCTGTTTGACCCAGGCTGCTTTTATGTTCTCAGCACATTGGAAACCACGTTTGACACCAATGTCACTACGGAGATAAGTGGCCGCAGCATCCTCAGTTTGACAGGGAGACCCACGCCTCTGTCCTGGCGACTCGGCCAGTCCAGCCCCCGGCTCCAGGCAGGAGATGCCCCCTCCATGGGCAATGGGTACCCACCTCGAGCCAACGCCAGCCGGTTCATCAGCACCGAGTCGGGCCGCTACGTGTACTCGGCACCTCTGCGAAGGCAGCTGGCCTCCCGGGGCAGCAGTGTCTGCCATGTGGACATCTCAGACAAAGCAGGGGACGAGGTGGACCTGGAAGGCATCAGCGTGGACGCCCCTGGCTACATGAGCGACGGGGATGTTCTGAGCAAGAACATCCGGAGCGACGACATCACAAGCGGGTGAGTGCTGGGCCTCCACCCTCTGGAGGTGTGGGCAGTGGCTTGGTCCTTGGGTTCCCCAAGATCTCTAGAGATTGGTGCTGGGCTGGGAGTCAGGAGCCCCGAGTGTGCAGGCTTGGCGAGTCACCATGATGTCCCGCCAGCTGCCAGTGACAGTGGGAAGCCAAGCTGCTGTGTCTGTCCCGTAACCAACCTCGCGCTGGGGATGGAGTCCACCTGGTCCCCCGGGACCTGGCCCTGCCCCGCCCCTTGGATCTCACCCCTACCTCGCTTCCCCACAGCTGTCCTTCCTGTCCTCCAGTCTCCCTGAGCTCCTTCTGACCCCAGGGCCTTTGCACTGTCTTTCTGGACCTGGCTTCTTCCCCCAGATCCTTGCTCCTCAGCCGAGAGGGAAACCATCAGATTTGAGGCAGGCTGAGTCCCCCGCATCACTCTGTGTCAGGCACTTTTGAAAGCTCGTCGCTGTTTGAAATTGTCCTGGTTCTGCACTCATGTTTTGTCGTCTCCTGCCCTGCTCCCCGCTCGCAGCAGGAGCACATTGATCCAGAGCGTGGCTTTGCTTGTTCCCCATGGAATCCCCAGTGTACTGAACCTAACAGGAGCTTATGGCTATCGCTGAAGCCATGAGCATGTGGATGGGTGAGCAGAGGAAGCCACAAACCCGACTCCCTGACTCTCGATCTGTTCATGTGGAGAGGAGGCCAGCGAGCCGCGGGCTAAGGGCCTCCTAGGGAAGCAGCCGAGACTGTGCAGCACGGGGCCTGGTTTCCTGGTGGTGACTTCCCTTCGATGATCACCGTGTACACCTCAGATGCATCTCTTTGTTTCACTGGCTGAGATAGCTTCACCTCTATCGTGATTTGCCCAGAAGTTCTTCAGAGTCTTTTGAACCGCTAATGCTCTAGCAATGAAAATGACACAATACAAAAATCCAGACTAATAATCAGTCCCCAGTTCCCAGACAAACTGGTGACCAGGTGCTCCATGGGTGACTCGGTCTTTTCCTAATTGCAGCTCTAGCTGACTTCACTACTGTGTGCCAAGCACTGTGCCCCGGCTTTATGGGTATCGTCTTGCTCTGGCCTGAAGGCAGCCCTGTGAGACAGAGCAAATCATAGCCCCCATCTACAGACCAGGAAACCACAGCCCAGGAAGGTGACCTAACTTCCCCAGGGCTACGCAGCTGGTAGGAGGCAGAGCCCAGAGCCAATGAGTCCTTACCCCCCTCCGTTGGCTCCATCTTGTCCAAAGTCTTATTGCTGCACTGCAACAGCACAGCTACTAGAGGTCATTTCCAAATTATTTTAATTTTACATAGCTCTAGACATTTTTTTGTCTGTCTGTGTGGTTTTTGCAGTGCTGGAGATTGAATTCAGGGCCTTCACACTGAGCTACATCCCTAGCCCTGTTTTTTTTTTTTTTATTTTGAGCCAAGATCTTGCTAAATTGCCCAGGCTGTGGATGAACTTGGAATCCCCCTCCCTCAGCCTCCAAGGCTACTGGGATTACAGGTGTGTGCCACCACACTCAGTTTAAAAATATTGTTATTTAACTTAAAGGGTAGGCATAGGGGTGGTTTGGTTTTCTGCCTATCACTTAGAACCAACTTGGGTAATAAAATCTTGGAAAACAGGAGCCGCGGAATGCTCGCAATCCAACAATTTCTGTTATACAGAATGTCTGGGAAAGCTAAGGCATGGATAAATTAAACTACCTGATCAAATTGGAACATACTGGGGCTGGGGATCTAGCTCAGTGGTTTCACCACCTGCTTCGCAAACGGAAGGACCCGAGTTCAATCCCCGGTACCAAAAAAAAAAGAAATTAAATTGGAACATACTTTTGTGTTATAGTCTGCTCCAAACATAAGAAATAATAATTGCCTGTTGGTAAGACTGAATTGCACATCATTTAATCTTTAGTGTTTGGAAGACTTTTGGTATCCAGAATGATGTCGAGTTTATCATTACCAGTCCTCATTTTAATATACTATCCCTAAGTGTGATTATTTTGAAGTTTTTATCCTGAAAGAGCTTATGTTATTGTTGGATTGTCTTTCAATTATCTGCATGGGTAGGTGGTCAGTGAATTAATTTTTGCTGTAGTGCCGATAGTGATCACAAGGTGGAGACGTTGGGACGCTCCAAACTCAAGCCAGTCAAAGCTGCTGGTTTCTTTGGCTCCCCAAACCAGAGCTCAGAGGTGCGTGTTTTACATTTCAGTGTTCGCTTTGCAAGGCTGACATTTTTAGCTTGTGAGATAGCACTTGGAGCAAGTGTAGATAAAAGAGCAGAAATGTAAGCAAACCGCTCAGTTACTGAAATTGGAGAACTTCGGTCTGGTTTTTCTTCCCCGGTTCCTTTTTACTGTAGAAATTTACCTTTAAGTGAGGACAGCCGGATGTCATTTAATGCTCCTTCTGCTTGGAGTGTCCTGGAACTGTTGTTCAGCTTGGCTCTGGCTGTGAAAGCCCCCAGTGCCTGTCGGGAGGCCAGAGGACCAGTCTGCTTTTACATGCTGATGCCAGGTGGGCCAGTTTCTCTGCTCCCGCCTTTCCCTGTCTGTGGACAACATGAAGCTGTAAATATTGAAAAGCGTGTGCTTACTCCATGCCTCAGAATCTGCTAGAAGGAGAATGTGACCCCAAGCATGTCATCTACCTTCCGAAGCCTTGAAGCCCTCCGTGTGGGTCTTAACCTTCCATATCGGGATTTCTCTTGAGGTTGTATTCAATGTGTTTTTATTTTTATTAGTCCGTGTCTGCAGGACATATGATTACATTCCTCATGGGGAGCTGGTACATGCATGGAGCACATCTTAACGCTTTTTATGTCCTCAGCCTCTCCCTCCCCCTACCCCCATGTCTTGGTCCCCTTCTCATTTGCAAAAGATCTATCTCCCCATTTCCTATTATCTACCTATTATTTTGCTCTTTAGATCATTTATACTTTGGATTTCTTATATATGAGAAATCATGCTATATTTATGCTTGTGTGTCTGGTTTATTTCACTTAACATTATGGTCTCAAGATGCTTCCATTTTCCTACAAATACTAAAATTCACCCTTTTTCGTAGCTGAGCAGTACTCCATTGTGGATAAATACCACATTCTCTTTACCCATTGATCTGTTGATGGATATATAGGCTGCTTCCAAGACTAAGCGATTATGAATCGGGGTGCTATAAACATGGGCATGTATGTATCACTGTACTATGATGTCTTTAGTTCTCTCAGGACGATACCTAGGAGGGGAGGTTGTATCTGATTAATGACGGCTGTCTAACAGACACAACATTCAGCCAGGGCCTACATCTCATATGGACCTCAAATGCCCAGGCACCTGGAAACCATGAAATGCTGAGAGTTTGCATAAGATGTTTATTTGGTGTGGGGAAAACCTAGCCTTGATGTGTCAGTGAGGAAACTTGATTGTCAATGAGGAGACTTCTGGCAAAGGTGACAGAAAGTGCAACATGGCACCATGCCTTGGGTCGGTGCAGCAGCTATTTTGTGATGTCTGTACTTCGTGCTTGTCGCTGGATGTGGGTGCCATGCACTGTGTGGATCCTGCAGTTCTCTCAGGGTGGGCCTGAGATTTCTTTGTCACCATGGAGTTCAGCTAGAGCTTGCTGGAAAATGCTGTCGTGTGTGTGTGTGTGTGTGTGTGTGTGTGTGTGTGTGTGTATCAAACCCCTGAACTGTGCTGAGCTTACGCCAGGCCAGGCATGTCAACTTTACAAGTTGTCATGTGAGTTCACCACTTCTTTTTATTAGGTTGGTAAACTGAGCATTGGCTGTGGTGGAAAATAAATTAAAATGACAGACAAAGATGTCTCTTATTATTAGGTTTTGATCTCTGAATTCAATCCTGTGCTCATATTCTAAACTCAGAATACCATATGGAACAGAATAAAATTAAAGGGATAGATCTAGCATCCATATGTTTGGAAGGATTTTTTTTATTTTCAAAGGAAACACTGAGTTGTATAATCTTCCAATATATAAATATACAACTCCTCAAGGGAAAAAAATGATCATTTAAATTTAACATCAGAAGTTTTCTCCCAGACTCTCTGAAGACATCCAGGGCCTTTGGGAATGGGTTTGAACCCCTTGGCTGAGCAGGGAGGTGCCTCGTGGTCTCATCCACCTTCCCTGACACACCAGCCGCCTGCTCCCTCGCCGACTCCTCTCTGCCCTCTGCTGCCCCCGGCCACCTGCCAGTCACAAGGGCAGAGCCCCGTGCTGGGAACCTGCTGCTTTCTCCCTGGAGTTCCTGAGCTAACACCTTGATGTCCCCCTGCACCCTGTCTTCCGTGTGTCCGGTGGTCTTGGTTTATTCAGAAACAGTGTCTTGGCCTTTCACTTTCCATGTGAAGGGCAGAGAGCCAGACAGACAATATGGTCTTAAGGGACAAACAGACTGATCCTCCTGTGCCGGGTGAACTAGAACAAGTCTTAACCTTGAAAAATTAGAGCTACAGATTGGCACTTTGTAGAGAATCTGGAATGCTTAAGAAGTGTGTGTGTGTGTGTGTGTGTGTGTGTGTGTGTGTGCGTGCGTGTGTGTCTGTCTTTTCTCTACTGGGGCTCCACTCCTAGAAGGCATGCTCACTATTTTTCCAAGCCCAGAGTGTAAGATATAGTAGGTATTTATATTCTTGGTGCCCATCCTGGCAGAACCTTGGGCTTTTATAACTTGCCACCGCCAGCTGTGAAACTCAGCGGTTCTGTTTATAGGACCCTTGGAGAGAAACAACTCAGGCTACGATGCCCTCTAGTGGCCAACACAGGATATGATGCTGTGATTTCCATTGCTTTTGATTACAAAAGCCTTTGGCTATGTCTCTTGCTCCTGTAACTCAAGGGTATTGACTTTAAATGCCTGGCCAATAGCCTCGTGTGGGAGAGAAGTCAAGGTGACCAGTCTTGTCGTCAGCTTTTGACAGCCTAAGTCCATTAGTCCATCAGCAGATGTAGGTACAGCTGGGGGACTCA